GGGGGATCTCCTCATTGAGATGGAGGCGGGGGCGGGAAAGGCGGGTCCTATAAAGGAAATTGTAGACAAGGTTATGGGGGGGAAGGAAGTGAGGCTCCTCCAGGAGAGAATGATGGTGGATATCGAGGGAATCGATGAGGTGACAACCGAGGAGGAGGTCACGGCGAAGATCTTGAAGGCATGTCCGGAGGCGGCCCCGAGAACGCTGAGGATCTTTAAGACTGCGAGGGGAGTGCGTATTGCGAGAGTGGAGGTGGTGCCAGGAAAGGGTGTTGGGAAAGGGGGAGAAGTGAGGATAGGCTGGAACGTATGTAGGATAAGGGGGGTAGTGAGGAGAGGAGAGAGAGGGGAGGATAGATGTTTCCGGTGCCTTGAGAAGGGACACATTAGGAGGGACTGCAAAGGGCCGGATAGAGGGAAAGTGTGCTTGAGGTGTGGCGAGGAAGGGCACATGGCAAACAAGTGCGGGGCGGACCGCCCACGTTGCTTCTTGTGCGAGGGAATGACTGAGGGGAGTGGGGTGGGGCACGTATCCTATGGACGCGGGTGCCGCTACGGAGTAAGGGACGGTGGGGGGCAAGAACGATCTGGGAAAGATAAAAGACCGGGCGGCACGATGGAAGGGAGTGGATAGGGAAGGAACCTCAAACTAGACCGGACGAGACGGATAGACGCACCATGGACATGATGACGGGAAGGAGGGACAGGACGCTCCGGATTCTGCAGCTGAACGCGAACTGCAGCTCAAGGGCGATGGACGTCGCCTACGCGAGAGCGAAGGCGACGGAGGCAGATTTTATCTGCCTCTCTGAGCCCAACAAGCGGCAGTGCGCGGGAAAGCGGCACGTGTACCCTAACGGGCGACGCACGGCCGCGGTTGTTAGGATCGGGACGACGCAACGGGTCCTCCGGTATGGCGAGGGAGGGTGCTATGCGCTGGTAGAGACGGAGGAGATGTGTCTCATCAGCGTGTACATCAGCCCGAACGTATCGGAGGAGGACACAAACAGGGACCTTGACGACCTCACGGACGCGCTGAAGGCTGCGAGGTGCCCCGCTGTAGTGGCGGGGGACTTCAACGCTAAGAACGTGACGTGGGGTGGGACGACGACGGATGAGAGAGGCCGCGCAGTTGCAAACTGGGCGGCCCAGAACGGATTGACGGTACTAAACGACGGTAGACACGCGACGTGCGTCCGGCACAACGGCCAGTCCTTCGTGGACTTGACATTTGTGTCGGATAGACTGACCGGGACGACGGGGGGGCGGGTGGAAGCTGACGAGGTAACTCTCAGCGACCACCGACTGATAGTGACGGACATAGTCGGGAGAGGGGGTAAAGCCTCTAACCCGACGACGACGACCGTGGACTTGACAAGATACAGGACGGAAGTAAAGAGACGACTGGCGGGACGAGGCCTTCTGGCCCCCGAAGAGTGTGTCGCCGCGACGAAGGCGGCTGCCCGAAGGGCGGCGAGACGACTGGCGAATCCGAGCTCTGCCTATTGGTGGAGCGAGGAGCTAGGCGTACTCCGAACCCGGGCGCAGGCGGCGAGGCGTGCATACTTGAGAGACAGGGCCAGGGGGACAGACACGACCGACAGCCGAACGAGATGCGATGAAGCGACCAGGCAGTACAGACGGGAGATTGGGAGAGCTAAGGCAGGCAAATGGAGAGGCCTCTGCGATGACCTGGAACGCGACCCATATGGGCAGGCGTTCCGGATAGTCATGGGGAACCTCAAAACTCCCTATCCTAGAATGGATCTGTCCCTGGAGAGTCGGATACGTCTCTTTAAGGAACTGTTCGTCTGGGAGGGGAGGGACGATGACGACATACTGACGAGCCGAGACGAGCCGGTGGAACAGCTGACAGAGGACGAACTGAGGCGAGCGGCCGGGGGGATTAAACCCGGGAAAGCGCCGGGTCCGGACGGGATAGAGCCGCGGCTCGTGAAAATAGCCGTGGAGGAAGCTCCGGCAGCCCTGCTGGGAATGTATGAGCAACTGTGGAGGCGGGGGGTATTCCCAAAGCCATGGAAGGTGGCGAGACTGGTGCTGGCAGAGAAGTCCAGGGCCGACCCAGCGGGCGAGCCAAAATATCGACCGATATGCCTACTGGACGTCTATGGGAAGCTCTACGAGCGACTCATAGGCGCCAGGCTGTCGGCCGATGTCGAGGCAAGCGGGGGGCTACACGACCGCCAATACGGGTTTAGGAGAGGGTTTTCCACGGTACACGCGATAAGGGACATCGTGGACCGGGCTCGGAGGATAGGAAGGGTAGGGGCGTCGAAGTGGGGGGTCCTCCTCTGCTTCGACGTCAAAAATGCCTTTAATATGGCTCGATGGGACCTGATTATGGAGAGGTTGAGGGAGAGAGGGGTGAGGGGGGACGTAGTCAGGGTGGTCCGGGATTACTTGAGGGAGAGGAAGGTGGAGGTGGCAAGGGGGGAGGTGTGGCGCGTTTTCGGTGGGGTTCCACAGGGCTCCGTGCTGGGACCGCTACTGTGGAACATCCTGTACGATGGCGTCCTGCGTCTCCCCTTTCCGCTCGGGGTTTTACCCGTGTGCTTTGCGGATGACTTGGCGCTTTGGGTGGAGGGGAGGACCGAAGAGGAAGTTAATCAGCGAGGTGCGGAGGGCGCCAGGATCGTGGGAGAGTGGATGGACCGGAGCCGGCTTGAGATGGCCGTGGCGAAAACCACGGCCGTCATGCTAGGTCGGCACCGACCATCCACTAGGTTACGGGTTAGGGTTGGGGAGGAGGATGTTATTCCGGTAAGGGAGACTAAATATTTAGGGGTGGTGCTGGACAGGGGCCTCCTGATGGGGGAACACGTGAGGGAGGCGGTTCGGAAGGCAGGGAGGACGATGACAGCCGTGGGGCACCTGATGCGCAATGTGGGGGGCCCGTCACACGCGAAGAGGAGGGTGTTGGCGGGGGGGGTGGCGTCGAGCCTGATGTACGGGGCCCCGATATGGTGCGAGGCGATGAGGATAGGTAAATACCGCGATATGGTTCTTTCTCTCCAGAGAACGTGCTGTATCGCGGTGGCCTCGGCGTATCGCACCGTGTCGGGACCAGCTGCATGCGTCATCGCGAAGATGATCCCTCTGGATCTCCTGGCTCGGGAGAGGGAGTGTGTGTTTCGTAGTGTCGGGGAGAGGGGGCAGGAGAGGGCAGTGACGATGGGAAGGTGGCAGGAGGGCTGGGCCGACGAGAGGAGGGCTTCCTGGACGAGGCGGCTGATACCCGAGGTAGGCCGCTGGGTTGATTGTGCACACACGTACACAACGTACTATGTGACGCAGGCACTCAGCGGACACGGATGCTTCGGGGATTACCTGCACCGTATCGGGAAGTGGCGGTCCAGCCGGTGCATGTACTGCGAAGAAGTGGACACGGCGGAGCACACGCTCTTTCATTGTGAGAGGTGGGAGATTCAGAGGAGCAGGGTCTTCGCGGTGGCGGGGGGGAGACGACTGTCGCCTTCCACGCTGATAGAGAGTGTGACGGGTACGAGAGAGGCGTGGAGAGAGGTGGTGAGTGCGCTAGGGGAGTTGTTCTCTCAGAAGGAGAGGGATGAGCGCGAAAGACAGAAGAGGGGAGTTGTCGAAGTGAGGGAGTGAGGCAATGGAGAAGATGAGGCCCGCTGGGCAGAAGTGAGCACACCTAGTGCGTTCCTGCCCAGCTAGGAAACGTGGCCGAGGAGTGGTTTTAGCGGGTAGGCCTCCCCTTGGGGAGGAGAATCCTGCACTACCTTGCGCCGATAGAACCTAAGGCGCTTGGTGTCTATCAAAGATTTCCACTTCTATACAAAAAAAAGGTTAGGTTAGGTTAGGTTAGGTTAGGTTAGGTTAGGTTAGGTTAGGTTAGGTTAGGTTAGGTTAGGTTAGGCTAGGTTAGGTTAGGTTAGGTTAGGTTAGGTTAGGTTAGGTTAGGTTAGGTTAGGTTAGGTTAGGTTAGGTTAGGTTAGGTTAGGTTAGGTTAGGTTAGGTAGGTTAGGTTAGGTTAGGTTAGGTTAGGTTAGGTTAGGTTAGGTTAGGTTAGGTTAGGTTAGGTTAGGTTAGGTTAGGTTAGGTTAGGTTAGGTTAGTCGCGCACGGGTTTTTGCAGCGAGTAGACGTGTTTTTGGAGCGCTCCGTGCCTCAAAATCGCGTAGCGTCGAATTCAAACGTGAAAATTACGTGTGTAGTATTGGTGGATGCGCGCAAAAAAAACAAATTTTTTGGTGCAAGAATCGTTACGATCGGACGGATAGTTCAGGTGTTACTGAATTTTAAGTTTTGAGACGGATTGTGTTGTTTACAACGAGACCACGTGGAATCGAACTGCGGAAGGAAGACACCGATAAGGACCTGCCGGGTATCATAAGGTAGGCCCTAGCATAGGAAGCCCAACCCGCACCGGGTCGTTCTTATCGGCGCACGCCCCGAGGCGCTACTGGCCTATCAATTTTGGAACGATAGCGACTGATAGGTCGGCGGGGGCGGAACGGGGTTAGATAGCCGCACGGGACCGGGTGGGTTCGACTGGAGACGGCGCGAGGTGTATTTTGACACCAAACACGGGGGGGTGGGAACAACCCCTGCGCCACGCGAAATCAACCCCAAGCGTTGACGGGGTGCGGAAGGAGTGGAGTTACAGGAGCGAGCAAGGGGTCCTCGGATAGGCCGTAGGAAGAGCTTGCCGTAGAAGAGGCGACCGGTGTTATCGGACAGCGCGCTCGGTAGCGGCAGCCTTATCTATCCCTGCGGAAGGAAAACTGATAGGGTTGTACAGACGGAACGGGCGGTCAGATTGACGAGGGGTAAGCGGGGTTGGACTCGTTGTCCTATTCCGCGTATTACGACACCCCACTCGAGGGGGCGAGAACAACCCCTGCGCGTAGTGGACTGAAGCGTTGAGTGTAAATATAAAACTTGTATATAGAGTAGTAGCCATACGTTTAGGATTAGGTTATAGACAAGAACACCGTGGACAATAGTGCAAGCGCGATGTACACTCAGTGGGCTGGCCAGCCGAAGACGTTACGGACCCCACCCTTAAGGGAAGCGCCGACGGGTAGTAATGACAACGAGGAGGTGATCCCCGAGACGCCGATGGAGGGGAGGCGGAAACGGGAGGACACGGAATCGAGCACTGACAGCGACACGGACGGGTCGGAGCGAAACCAGACGAAAAGGCCAAGACGTGCTAGCGGGTACGACACTGAAACTGTTATCGTGTCACCGAAATCTACCATGAGCGACCTGGGAGATATCAGAAAGCTTCAAACTGAGGGAGCAATACTGGCGGCGTCGGTACAGAAAACTATTAACGAGGCAGTGGAATTCGGGAAGAAATCCACTAACACGAACAACATACTCAAGGGGCTAATTAATGATATCAAGAAGGAGTTCACTAGGCTAGAGAATCATAGGCTAATGGCGGAGAATAAGTGGGCCAAGTACGTGGCGGGACTGAAAGTGGCTTCGCTAAGGGGTGATGAGATTCACGGGTCCGGCGGGAGAAAGACCAGCACGGCGACGGGGATGTCCCCGAAGGAAACGCGCGACGCGGGTACCAGTCCGGTTAAAGGGGAGAGCGCAAGAAGACGCGAGGCGACTTACGCCACAGCCCTGACCGGGGGTACAGCTCTGCGGGAACCGGTAGTCATGCTGGAAAGGACGAGCACAGTTTTGCAGCCGAGCGGAGGGGTTGTCGAAAGGGTGAACGAGGAGAGAAAGAAGAGAGTGAGGCTGGTCGATGTGGGGACCACATCTGAACGGGAGACGGGAACAGACACTGAGGGGGAGTGGAAGACCCAGGGGAAGAGAAGGCCGCGAAGAAAGGCGGAATCGGGGAGTGGTAGCGAAGGAACGACCGGCACGGGAGCGAGGCGCAGGAACAGAAGGGCGGAGGCGGTGCTTGTCAAGCTAAAAGGGGAAAATCATATGGAAGACATTTTGAAGAGAATCAGACAGACGGATATGTCCGGAGTGTCGACAAAGATAGAGAGTATATCGCGGACGAGGAATGGGGACATTCTACTCAGGGTTGAGAAGGGAGCGGGGAAGGCCGAGCCGGTTCTTTCTAAGATCAAGGCCGCAATTAGCGATCGGGAGGTAACCCTGCTGGAGGACAACTGCACGCTTGTGGTTAGGGACCTGGACGCCGTCACAACGGAGAATGAGGTATTGGGTGCCATCATCCAAACGGTGTCAGGAGCAAGATGCAGGATTAAGAGCATGATTACGGTTGAGAGAGGGCAGAAGGTGGCGTACGTCCACGCCAACCGCGAAGCGGCGGAGGAAATACTGGCACGGGGGTACCTGCTCGTGGGGCTAACCTCATGTAGGGTGAGGATTAGCCAGGACCTAGTGCGGTGCAACCGATGCTGGGAGATTGGGCACATCGCGGACGCGTGCAGGGGGGAGGACCGCAGGGCGCAATGCTATAATTGTGGGAATGCCGGACACTATGCGCGGGAGTGCAGTAACGAAGCAACGTGCAAAAGATGCGAGGGACTGGCGAAGGGCCTGGGGGTCGGGCACAGGGCCTACACAAGGCAGTGCATGTATGAGACAAGGAAATCGGAAATGGGCGAGACGATGGCCACAGGATCACAGGGTGGCGATACCTCGGCACGACAGGGTGTGGCTATCGGGCAAGAGGTTGAGAATCAAGACCGGGACATAGAAGAGCAAGTAGATCATGCTTAGAGTGATTCAGGTGAATTTGCACAACATGGGGGAAGCGTTGGACCTGGCCGTGCAAAAAGCTCAGGAGACACGAAGGGACCTTCTAGTTCTCGCTGAGTACGGTAGTGCGCGCGCGAGCGGAGGGATGTTTGTGGACCTGAGCGGCAAGGCCGCGATCATGTGTGTAAACGCGAGCATTGGTGCGGACCGTGTAGGCGAGGGCAGGGGATTTGTGTGGATACAAACCCAGGGTGTATATGTGTACAGTGTCTATTTCCCACCGAACGAGAGCGATTTTGAGCTCGAAGGTAAACTAAATGACATCGCGGACTCTATTAAACGCATTGGTGCAACCAAAGTGATTATCGCGGGGGACATAAACGCGGCCTCTCCAGCATGGGGCGCCCGTTCGTCTAACAACAGGGGCGAAATTATTATGGAATGGCTAGAGACATTGAACCTGGTAGTGGTAAATACAGGCTCGAAGCCGACCTTCGAACAGGGGACGCGCCAATCAATCGTCGACGTTACCCTTTGCTCACAAAGGTTACTTAACGAATTTGCAGAGTGGGAAGTGCTAGAAGACGAGACATTAAGCGACCACAAATACGTAGCATGGGAGGTCAGGCCGAGGCTGCTGCGAAACCGAGCGCCTTTGCATACTTATAAAAGCTTTCGGGGCTGGAATAGCAACAAAATTGACCGAAACAAACTGGAGAGGTGCTTGCAGGAAGTAGACGGGGAAAAAATTACAGATGTGGACAAGCTGAGCGGGTTACTACGCGAAATTTGCCGCAGAGTCATGCCTCTCAAAAAAGCCGGCAGGAAGTCGCAGTTCTGGTGGAACGACGACATCGCTCACCAGCGGGAGATTTGCAGGCGATGCAGAAGAGCCTACCAGCGAAGGAGGAGAAGGGGCGATAGTGCGGATAACGAGAGAGCCAATCTGAGGGAGGAGAGAAAGGAACTAAAAAGGATGATAGCCGAGAGTAAAAAGAGCTGTTGGAAGGAGCTTTGCCAAGACGTGGACAGAGACGTATGGGGAAAAGGCTACCAAATCGTAACTAAAAAGATCGCCAAGCGCACCATAAAGGTTGGCTGGAACGACGAAGCTCTCGAGGCGGAGGTAAGAAGGCTCTTCCCTGAGCATCCAAGATTGGAACCGTTTCCGGAGGGAGAAAGACCGCCCCCGCACGATCACGTGACGACCGAGGAAATAGCGATGGCCGCGAGACAGTTGCCTAATAGAAAGGCTCCGGGACCAGACTATGTGCCGGCACCAATTGTGAAAGCTTTAGCTCTGGAAAAACCCGGCATATACAGGAAGATAATAGACGACTGCATACGCGACGGCGTATACCCGGAGGGGTGGAAACGCTCAAAGTTGGTGTTGATCCCGAAGGCGGCAGGCTCCTACAGGCCGATTAGTCTACTGGACTTTTCCGGGAAGCTAGCGGAAAAGGTGATAAAGAACCGGATTAGCGCGGAGGTAGAGGACAGGCTGTCAAAGAGACAATATGGTTTCAGGAAAGGTCGATCCACCATCGACGCAGTACGCGAGATAGTGGCGCAAGTCCAGGCAGCAAACAGAGGGACGTGGAGGACGAGGCAGGTCTGCATAGTGGCATCCCTCGACGTCCAAAACGCCTTTAACTCGGCAAGGAGGGAATCAATCTTGGAGGCCATGACGGAGCAGGGGGTCTCCGCGGGACTCACGCGGGTGATAAGAAGCTATCTCACGGACAGGCAGGTGGAAGTGGAAAAACCGTCGGGCGAGGTTTGGAAGTTCGTCGATAGTGCGGGAGTGCCGCAGGGGTCCGTTTTGGGGCCACTGCTGTGGGTCTTATTGTACGACGGCGTGCTTCGAATCCAACACGAGGAGGGTGTAGAAGTGTTCGGGTTCGCAGACGATTTGACGGTAGTGGCAAGAGGACGTGACGTGGACGAGACCGGGCGAAGGATACAGCGGACAATCCAGAACATCGCGGCCTGGATGGAGCAAAGAAGCTTGACTCTGGTGCCCGAGAAAACCAAGGTGGCCATGATGACCGGGAAGAGGAGGATCGGCCAATTCACGCTGGAAGTGCTCGGCGAGAGGATGATTGCGGAAAAGAGCATTAAAATCCTCGGAATCACGATAGACAAGTGTCTACACTTTACGGAGCACGCCCGCGGCGTATGCGGAAAAGCAATCAGGTGCTACGAGGCTCTTAAAAAGATACTGCCCAATACGGGAGGCGCTCGTGCAACAAAAAGGAAGGTGCTGGCGGCGGCTGTCATGTCAATCGTGCTGTACGGATCCGAAGTCTGGGGATCCGCCATGAAGTGGGGCGTAGCGGCGAATATGACCGATAGAGTCACAAGGTTATTAGCAGTGTCAATTGCGAGCGGGTACCGAACGGTCCAGTCGGACGATATCATGGTAATAGCCGCCCTTCCACCAGGACAGCTTATGGTAAGAGCAAGGATGGAAGGATGGGACAAAGCGCGATTGAACCAGGAATGGCAAGAGAGATGGGAGCGGAGGCAGTCCTGGACCAGGAAGCTCATCCCGAACCTGGACAACTGGGTCGACAGGCTGCACGGAGAAGTGGGCTATCACCTGACCCAATTCTTGACGGGACACGGGGAAAATGCCGTGTACTTACTGCGGATAGGGAAACGCGATAGTGACGAGTGTGTGGACTGCGGAGATAGAGACACGGAGGGACATGCCGTATTTGAATGCCAGAGATGGACAAGAGGCAGAATAGAGACCGAGACAGAAGTGGCAGCAACTCTACAGCCGGAAAACATCATCCAGTTGATGATAGAGAGCGAGAGCAAGTGGACCAAAATCGCGCGGTTCGTGATCACCGTAGTCCAAACTAGGGAGAGGGAGGCATGGACTAGGGGTCAATAGACGGGTAATACAATATAACTATGGCTACATCTATGGGGACGAACACCTACCCCGGCCGTTCGGCATAGCGAGGAATGCTACCGCGGTGCCCTATGCCGACAACTATGGCGAGTGACTACGAGTCGAAGGAGGATAGGGTTTTAGTGGGTAAACCTTACCTAGATGGAAGGGAGTCCCACACACCCCCCCGCATAGAGCCAAGCGGGGGCAGCCTATAAAAGGTTTCCCAAACCTCATTAAAAAAAAAAAAAAAAAAGGTTAGGTTAGGTTAGGTTAGGTTAGGTTAGGTTTGGTTTAGGTTAGGTTAGGTTAGGTTAGGTTAGGTTAGGTTAGGTTAGGTTAGGTTAGGTTAGGTTAGGTTAGGTTAGGTTAGGTTAGGTTAGGTTAGGTTAGGTTAACACTCGGGGGGTGTTTGATTTTCGAAAGTTATACATCGTCGGAAAGGCCATTTAAAGACGCGTCGATAGACCCAAAGGGTCACTCAAGTTTCTCAAAAACGTCGGAGTTATGGCCGTAAGTGTTTTTCGAGACATTTGGGGTAATAACTCCGAAAAGTCGAGGTCACATGTCGGGGTCGAGGGGCAATTTCGAAAGCCAAAGAACGTGGCTTTCCAACGATACCTCACACTTTAAGATCGACTCGCGAATAACGAGGGGGCAGCCTCTCAAAGATTGCCAAATTTTGTCAAAATTTTCAAAAATTTTTTTCTCAAAAACCAAAAGGCCGATCGAGGAACGGATTACTTATTTCTTAAACGCCGGTCGAGTAGAGCGCACAAAAAAATTACGGTCCAAATCGCAGACAAAAAATTTTTTTCATAATCATCCCTTGGTCCCCCCTTCCTATTTTAAAAAAAAAACTTTTTTATTTACCGTCCGATTTTCAAAATTCGACCGGCGTTGGATAGATCTCGTCGAAAAAGCAAAAATCCAATCATAAAACGTTCGGGGTCATATATAAACGAGGGCGCTAGAGGGCGATTTAGGGGATGACAAAAAAAATTAAAAATTGACGAAATTTGGCACACACGTTTGTACGGACCTTAGAAAGTCTCCGGTACAACTTTTACCCCTTTACGACCAAAGGGAAGGGTAATAGGGGGTGAGGTTAGGTTAGAGGTTAGGTTAGAGGTTAGGTTAGAGGTTAGGTTAGAGGTTAGGTTAGAGGTTAGGTTAGGTTAGAGGTTAGGTAGCATTGAAAGCATGCTGCGAAATAAAATTACTATCTGATTAGGAGAATACAAATTCACTACTAAACTTGGATTTATACTCAGTAGCCGGCTAACATTCAACGTGAGGGACGTAAAGTTCGGTATTCTGCCAGGAAAACTTGCTACTACAAAACTCAAATCTTAAGGGCGCCAGATCTAGCGAGGTAATAAATCCTCTTGATCAAGGAGGATAGGCTCTTCCAAGTATAGCATAATGAAGGTGAAAAAAACTAGGTATTGTGGCAGAGAGGAATTTAATACGTCTGTATTTCGATTTAAAATTAAATATGATTAGTATGTAACTACAAATTATAATTGTGGTGTGAAGCACGGTAACAATAATAAGAAAAAAACTAATAGGATTAATTCGTCCACACCGCAAATAATCAACAGTGTCAACAATATCTTACTACGGTAATTAATACGGGTTCTGGATTCGCTAGCTAGCCCCGCACCCTGTTTATATTTGGGCCAAATAGAGGTTCGTACAAATAGACCTCCCAAACTGAGAACAAAACGAATTTTCCTTCACAGGTAAGTATAATATTATCATGAATGTAATTATTTGTAATTAAATGGTAAGAATTACCTCTTTTGATTTCAGTTTACATAGCCCTTGAAGAGGGTTCATCAACTCAAAGCCACAAAAATTGTAAGTATGCAAATACAGGTTAATTATGATTAATTAATTTTTATTCTCCCACTTTATTTCAGAACAAACGCAGATGCAGCAAGGTAAGGTACCAGTAAGTGCCAGATTTTAGGCAGCGGAACAAAAAAAGCTGAAAGTTATGAGATACTCTATATCTAGCTTAAGAGATACCTAATTCTTACCTAGATGTTATAGCTTGCAACTCGTCCGCAATGTTCTAAACTACAAATTACAAAGTTTTAATACTACACTACCT